GGGAGCACGGGGACAGAAGTAACCGTGGCTGTCACATGTAGGGAGCATGGGGACAGAAGTAACCGCGGCTGTCACATGTAGGGAGCACAGGGACAGAAGTAACCGTGACTGTCACATATAGGGAGCACGCTCCATCTCACTCTGTTAATACTCTGATAAGGTACCAGCACCTTTAGCGGGGAAGCCAAACACAGCACCCAGGCCAACAGGTACTGAACCTGGGTTGATGTTGCTACACAGCCTGAGCCCTTTCCTTTGTGCTGTGTGACTGGAAAGGCCCTAGTCTGTGATGTCACCTGACACGGACTGTGTCTCTGCTTCTGTGAGGTACTGCTCTGGACATTGTGGTGAGGAAGTCCCAGCTGTGATGATCCCGTCACAGGGACATGGAGTGTGCAGGAGTTACTTAGTATCTGACACTGGTCTTCCTGTGTCCACAGCTGGGCAAGTCTGTGGTGGCCAAAGTGAAAATCCCAGAAGGCACCATCCTGACCCTGGACATGCTCACCGTGAAGGTGGGGGAGCCCAAAGGCTATCCTCCTGAAGACATCTTCAGCCTCGTGGGCAGAAAAGTGCTGGTCACTGTGGAAGAAGATGACACAATCATGGAAGACTCTGTGGAAAATCACAGCAAGAAAATCAAGTCTTAAAATAAAGTGCCTCTCCCTGGCTCCTCAGCTACCATGCTACCGCTGTCCAGTGTGTTGGGTACACCCTGTCACAGCGGCCACCTGTGTCCAGCCCATCGGAAAGGAAGGACCAATGAGGCCATTCTACTCTGAGGTGTCCAGCCAGAGAAGGCAGCCCCGAGCTCCTTCAGGGTTTCTGTGAGGCTCTGTTGTTGTCTTAACCCTTCGTGTTCCCACCCCACACAGCAACTCCAGGAACCTCACAGACAGCTGGGTTCCCCAGAGTACCAAATAATGGTCGCTTACATTAGACTCTCCTGAGGCCTTGTGGGCAGGAGGCAAGCGCTTCTGTCTCTGAGTGAAGGTTGGGAGGAAGAGAGCAGTTGATCTTCCCTTTGGTAAACCCTCAGGGCAGCCTCTGTCCTGTACCACAGAGGCCTAGAGAGACGTGGCTCTAAGCAGCCAGGCCCATACTCAGGGCAGTGCACACTACACCATGGTACACTTGGTCGGTGAGGTGACCCTTAGAAAGGGGTATGAACAGGGAGGTGTGGGGCGTGGAGCTTTCGAGCCGTAGTGTGAGGGGGATGCAGAAATCGTCTCTGCCATAATCGCCAGTGTCTTGTCAGAGATGACAGATGGCAACCCAGGCACAGAGCCTCCACTGTGACTTCTTCAAGTGCGTGAACTTTTTATAGAGGTTCGTTGTCACGTTGCAGTTCGTTCTTTGCTGAATCAGTGCTGAAATTAATCATTTTGTTCTTTTCAAGTATCTTCTCGTCTATATTTTATTTTTTTAAAAATTTACTTTTTTTGTTTGTTTTTTATTTTTCTGAGACAAGATCTCACTCTATATCCCTGCCTGAGCCGGCACTTGCTTTGTAGACCAGACTGGACTCGAACTCTGAGATCCACCTGCCTCTGCCTCCTGAGGGCTGAGATTAAAGGTGTACAACATCACACTTGGCCCACATTTATTTTTCATGTGTGTGTTTGTGTGTGCACGAATTACAAAGAATGGCTTGTGGGAGTCAGGTCTCCTCCTCTGCCATGTTGGCCCCAAGGATCTAACTGAGGCCGCCAGGCCTGGCAGCGGTCTCCTTTCCCAGCTGACCTGTATCGCTGGCCCGGTAGCCACCCCTCCCATTTTGTGTATTTGTGTGTGCTTGCAGAGGTCGGATGTCCTGCTTTACCATTGTCCACTTATCCGAGGCAGCATTAGCTGTGTAAACATCTAGCAGGCTCCAAAAATCTGTCTCTGCCAGGCCTGGCTTTTTGCTTGGGGCCGCGATCTGAACTCAGGCCCCAGTGCTTAAGCAGCAAGGGCCCTTCCCTATGGAGACGTCTTCTGCCCTTTTCAAGCCCTTTCTCTCTTCTTAAGGGGTTATCTTTATTCTCTGTGTATGTATATGTGTCCAATACCAAGGGAAGTCAGAAGAGGGTATAGATCCCCTTACTGGAACTGGTTATGAGCCTCTACATACACGATGAGAACTGAACCCAGGGTTTCTCTGCAAGAGCAGAAACTGCTCTTAACTGCTGAGACATCTCTTCAGCCACTTCTTTTCAAGGTGGTGTGTGTGTGTGTGTGTGTGTGTGTGTGTGTGTGTGTGTCTGTCTGTCTGTCTGTCTGTCCTGGAACTCACTGTGTACGGGGCTGGCTTCGAACTCAGAGATCTACCTGCCTCTTCCTCAGTGCTGAGATTTAAAGATGTTATGTGTGTGTGCTTTGGCACGTATGTCTGTGTGAGGGTCTTGGATTCCCTGGAACTGGACTTACAGATAGTTGTGAGGTCCCATGTGGTTGCTGGGAATTGAACCCGGGTCCTCTGAAAGAGCAATGAATGCTTTTAACCTCTTGAGTCCTCTCTCCAGTGTCGAAAACTAGCTTCAGCAAAACTTGTACGTTCCAGGGTAGGAGCATGAGGATTAGCATTATTAGGCAAAAGGAACAGAGATATAGGAGAAATAGGAGACAAACAGGACAGCATTAGGAGAGACATTTAGTAAAAGGGGAAGGGGGAGGCAACAGAATTCATTAGCTTGACACAAGGAATAGACTTGAATTCTCCTACCTTTGGTCCAGGTGGAGCAGATCTACTTCAACACTCAAAATACTAATTAATCACACCCTAGGCCAGAATCTCGTTTGTAGCCACACCTGTTAACATTGAGAGCAAAAATAAGCTCAAACTCTCTGACCTTCGGACAAGGTGGAATGGGCTCACATCTGTGTGCCCAACACTCCAGTTCCCTTTCCAAGTTCTTAATTTTTGTGTTCATACTTATTTGACCTTATTTGGTTAAGGGGAGAGGGTGCACATGCATGTGTGTGACTGCCTGCCTACAGAGGCCAGGGGCATTTGGCCTTATTTTGTTAGTGTGTGTGTGTGTGCCTGCCAGCCTACAGAGGCCAGGGGTGTCAGATCCCAGAGCCAGGGGTATTTGACCTTATTGTTAGGGTGTGTGTGTGCCTGCCTACAGAGGACCAGGGTGTCAGATCCCCTGGAGCTGGAGTTATAAGCAGTTGTGAGCTGCCTGATACGGGTGCTGGGTGCTAAACTTAGGTCCTCTGCAAGAGCAGTTTGAACTCGTAACCTCTAAGCCATGGCCTCTCCAGGCCCAATCTAACCTTATTTGCTGCATCAATACTATTGGAAAGTGTACGTTCAAGTCTCTTCTCAGTACATAGTTAGCCCTGAGAGGCTAATGTGTGAATTAGGACTCCCTTTCTCGGAATCTGGACTAACTTCTGGGGTGCTCTGGTTTGTAGCCGGCCTGGGATCTAGGCACATTCCCAGCCCGCTCACAGTTGGAAGACATGCCTAAGTACTTGCAGGTGGGCTGTGCCATGCTGTGCCCGTGACACTTCCACAGACAGGATCCACTGAGCTGACCTTCACTGGAAAGGGCATTGGGCAGGGGGCACTGACCTGGGAAAGCCTCCAAGAAGTTGCAGCCAGTTTAAGCCTTGTACACTGAGCAGCAACTGAGGGATGAACGGTGTATGCTTGGGAAATTCCCAGAGGTGGGAGGTGATTTGAGAGGAGCAACCCGTGGGGAAGAGGGGCTTAGCCTTCCAGGTTCTCCAGGGAGTGGTAGACCAAGGATGTTTTTCTTTTCTACATTTATTTTATGTGTATGGCTGTGCCTGCATGTATGTCTGCACCATATGTGTGTCTGGTGCCAACAGGAGCCAGAGGAGAGTGTTCAGTCTCATGAAATCGGTACAGTTGTGAGCTACCATGTGATTGGTGGAAACTGAACTTGGGTCCTCTCCAAGAGCAGCCAGTTCTCTTAACCACTGAGACATCGCTCTAGCCTTTGCATTGTGTGTGTGTGTGTGTGTGTGTGTGTGTGTGTGTGTGTGTGTGTATGGGTGGATGTGCACTCTGAGTGGCAGTCAGAGCACAAGTATTAGGAGTTACTTCTCTCTTTCCACCACGTGGGCCCTCCCCAGGGTTGAATTCAGACTGCCAGGCTTGAAGGCAAGCACCTTTGACCTGCTGAATCATCTCACCAGCCTCCCCCTTCTTCATCCCCCCTAGAAAACTTCTGATCAGAACACGATGGACTCCGGCCTGGGCCCTTCTCAGTCACACCCTATCATAAACACGGTGCTGTCTTGAGCGGATTTTCCCTCACAACACCAAACGCTTCTATCTACTAGCAACACCTGTATGGGGTTACCAGGGGTCAGTGTCACCAACAAAGTAGAATTTGGGGCAGAAGAGATGTAGGCAAAAGAGCTTCTGAATTCCCTAAAAGCTAGAGACCACCCGAGGCTTCCGTGGTGCTAAAGGGTGGCTACACAGCCGAGCGTTGGGTTGCTTGCGTCCATGAAAATTTAGGGGCCATTGGGATGGCTCAGAGGCTGATGGTTGTCGTCATCCTGATGCCCTGAGTTCAGTCCCCAGAACCCACATGGTGGACAGAAATGCATTTCCACCAGTTATCTCCTGACATCCACATGTGCACCATGGTACTGGAGGCCCCTCTGCCCCCTCAGACTGAATGTTAAAAAGAACTTGGTTATCTTCATGAGTGGTGAGCTCCCCATCACTGGGTGACTATTGCAAGAAAACCCTGAAGGGATGGCAGGTGAACAAGGTCTTATCCAGGCCTCTGTGCTAGGCGCTTGACTCCCAATGAAGAACACAATTACACGGGAGAGCATTCGTATTTTATTACACAATGCATATTATTAGAGAACTTGTCATTTAAAAATATGGCTGTCACTAGCCAACACGGACTGAAACCATGTGCTCAAAGGAAATGATACACAGGCCTTTCTGGGAGCTAGTGCCCAGAAATCACAGCAGCTGGCCCCAGGTCTGAGAACTCTCTGAAGAATCAGTCCCTGCTGAGCCCAGTCTCAGGAATCTTATGTCCCACAGTCTGGCCCTTGAAGCTGGACATTTGAGACAGAGGTGTCTGTCCTCCATTTCCCACGGGGTTGGCCTGGACTAAACCTTTTTCTTATGAAACAAACACCCGCTGGGGCCAGAGTGTAGCTCTGTGGAGCACACACCTGGGATGCGCAAAGGCCACTGGTTCTAGCCCATGCACCATGGGAAAATAATTTGTGGTTTACCTTTGAGGTAAATTCTACAAAACCAAGAGCATCAAGACAGATGCCTTCTACCTTAAAGAACATGGATCCCAAGGAAACTGCCCTGAGAGTATTAGGGCAGCCCCGGCGGCTGCCACCCACCTGCTGGGCATCCATGGTCCCACAATTTGACAAGGTACAGGGGAGAATCTGTTGGAGATGTTAGATCCTAACCCGATACAAAGTAGTTATTAAGGCAATTTCACTAGCTTTGGCTCGCTTGAGTCTTCTGGCACTGACCCGCACTTCACAGATGGGGGCCACGAATAGAAAAGTGTCATTTAACAAGACCACACAGCTGGGAAACTAGGCTTCCGGTCAGCACAAACCTTGGCCCAGACCAATTTTCCTGCTTTATACTCAGAACAGTCCCACCCCACACTGTGAAGGGTAGGAAACCTGTCTCAGAGACCAGCGGAGGTAATCTAGAGGCAGATGCGGCCCAAGGAGGCAGGTGGGAAAAGCTGAGGTGGTCACTGCCAACAGGGAGCCGGGCTGTCGTGTCCACAGCACCACCTGCTGGGAGCACAGACCCGGACTGCAACTGGTTCCGTTATCTTGGGCCAGTCACCTGACTCAAGTGTACCAATTCTGCTGCGTGAACGATGGGCTCATGTCCCCACTTTGGAGGGATGTAAGGTGTGCAGTGGACAACTACGTGTGATAACGCCTGGTACGATTGTTAAGAGATGCCTGGCTTGGCCCCTGCAGTGGTGCGTGTGGGAAAAGCTCTTGGTCTTTTGTGGATGAAGAAGATGTAGCATCAAGAGTACGGCTCCCATATTAGCTATGTCCCGTCAAATCCACCTTGGAGCCATCCTCGGTAGTTTTCCCTTCTGTGAGTAGCAGCCAACTGATCACTCATTCATCGCCTGGAAGGGGTCTTTCTGAACCATTTTTGGTGGGGGGGGGGGGAAGGAAAGGGACGCAAATGTCCTTAGAAAGCAGCTGGAATGACAGGTCCTATATTTGTAAGCCTCAAATTTTTTTTAGGGGGGTGCTTCTTGAGCAGATAAGTCCGATAAGTGAGACAGGCGAAGAGATGGTTTTCCTATTTATGCTGGAACGCACAACCGTTTAAAGAGGCAAAACTGTGAATTAGCTTCTGCCTGAAGAATGTGTGAACAGAAGACTTTCAGCACCTGGGTGAGGGTAGGCCGTCAAAGAGCAGGCCAGAAAAGTCGGGACGCTAAGAAGGCTTTCCTGTTTTTTCTGTGCCTTTTTGAGAACCCCCTTCTAACCTCAAGAGGCGGAGCTAGGTTTCAAGTCGTTCACCCTGGTTTCAGTGTAGAAGATGAAGATGCAAGAGGAGCAGGAGACTGGGAACCTTCTCGGGTTCTCTGGCTCAAGGTGGCCGGGACAAACTGAAGTGGCTGGAGAGCAGTTGACTCCAATGGAGACCTTTAAGGAGGTGCAGAGCCTCCGCCGGGACTCTTTCAATGAAAATTACTGTGTGCCTGCTGTGTGCCAGGAGGTTCTAGGCGCTGCATGATGGTGTCCCAGACACAGGTAGCGCCGGGGTTGCGTGGGCAGAGCCCTTAGATCAACCTAGAAAAGGAAGCATGGTCGCCTAGGGCAACCGGGGGATGCTGATGGCCCCCTCCCAGAGGCGCAGGGCCGGGTAGAGCGGTTCCTGGAAGGTGGCGTGGAAGGTGTGCAAGTGGCTCATGCCACCGCCCACGTCGTAGAAGGCCAGGACGCCAGCTTCGTAGTCCAGGAAGATGCCGATCCGGTGGGGATCGCGACGGGGCCGCAGGCGGTTTCGCTGGCAATCGTGGAAAGCCCAGTACTCGAGGTCGTAGCGCTTCACGCACCACGACTCGCGGTTGCAGCCCAGGCGGGAGGCAGCCGAGGACCCGCGGCGCCGCAGGGACGGGTAGGCCGCGCCCACCCACCAGCCCACGCCTGCCTCCTGCACGTCCACCTCCCAGTAGTGGCGGCCGGCTGCGAAGCCGTCGCGGCCCAGCACCTGACGCAGAGTGTCGAACCGGGGCGCGGGGCGCGGCCCT